TTATAAGTGATTTCTGCACTAGTTTTTGTTGTTGTTGTTGAACGACTAATTGATAAGGTTAAGAAAGTGATATACTGACAAATTAATTACACAAATATTATTTGGTGATTATTAAATACTGTTATGTAAAAATATATAGGTTACACAATTTACATAAATTACATATAACATTGAAAGCAATCAGTACTTTTGATTTTTATCTTTAGTACTAATATAACTTTTAAAACAATGTTGCACAAAAAATTATACAAACAATATCATAAAAGCTAATGGAGTATAATTGTCAGTAGTTAGTGACCTGTCTCCAGCTAAAAATGAGACTTTTTAGCAGATTAAGCAGGGGTTGATAGCTGGGGCTAGAAAAAGTATTATAATTTTAATATTATTATTTTAAATTTATATATTATAATTTTATGCTTACATTTACAATTTATTAAATACTGGCATATATTTATATATTTTCAAACTCTAATTTACTTCCAACAAGATTATAAGCAATCACAATTAAGTTATGACTTACTTTAAAATTGAGAGTAAGTAAAAATACTTATGAAATGATTAACTGAAAGCTTAAAAAGTTGTAGGTTGTATATAAACAACCTTTAACTTTTGTATACAACCTAAAGTTGTAAGCAACTTTAAAACAACAACGAGAGAGTGGCTCAAGCTTGGCAGATAAAGTAGGTCTAATAACATTTACAAAGTGCTTTTAGACTTTGTCTGAGATTAAGAGAGTTGTTATTCATCAATATAGGAATGCCAACTTCATTGCAATATTTTTTTGCAGAAAATATGAGTTTTGTTGTCTAACAAAAAATGTGTCCAGAGTTTAGATCCTTAAGCCTCTGCAAGTCTTAGGCTTTTACAGAAGAGAGATCAGATTAAAAATTGGCTGCTTGTTCTAATCAATCAAAAGATGAAGATTTTATGTCAAGGCAAGAGTATAAAGTTGAGTCATAAGCAAATAGAGGCACTTTACATGTAAAATTTTCATGAAGATCAATATTTTAGATAAGAAACAATACAGAGGCAAAGATAGAACTTTGTGGTACCCTTAAAGTTACATGAAATAAAGAAGAGTGTAGGCCTTCAAGAATAACTTTAATACTGCAGTTAGAAAGAAATAATTTAATAATTATATAAAAAAAACTAATAACAGAGTGAAGACTAATTGTAGGATAGTTGGAGAGGTCAAAGTGTTTTCTAGAGTTTTGAAAAATTGGAACCACTTATTTTGCACATTTTAAAAATTTAGCAAAAGTTGAAGTGAGGTCTGGAGAAAACTTTTTTAAGATTTTAATGGAAATTTTGTCTAAAGCTCAAACTGTTAAAGTGTTTAATCGAGAATTAACTTTAGCATTGGAAGCCAGAAGGATTTAGACGTTTAACGATGGGTTAATCTGTTTAATTGGCAGGAAGAGTACCATTAAAAGGCAGGTTAAAATTAAAAGTTACAAAGAAGCAAAAGTTAAATCAGAGTAAGATTGGGGAAAAAAAAAGATCATGAATGAATTAAATGAATTAAAACTTGCTTTAGTTGATATTGTTGAAGACTAACCAAAAGTCTCTAGAACCCAACATCTGATATAATTTACAAGGTTTAGTTAACTGAGAATAACATAGCTTAAAATCAGACAAGACCTTTTTACATTAGCTTCTTGGAATAATAAAAGGACATTTGTTCTTAAGAGAGATGTTCTTGTAAAATAGATGAAATAAATGATTAATAATGCAACTGCTTGAGATAGTGAAAAATGTAAAGTAGAATGAGCCTGGACTTGAAAATAAAGAATAAGAATAAAAGCTTTCAAACTTTTAGTCCAGAAGGAATAAAAGCTTTATAGATGCGCTTTATGCATACATATTATGGATATAAGCATATATGTTTGCTATTTATTTAGATGCTGGCATACAATATCCTTTCATATTTATATAAACTTTAGTATATATATAGTATATAGTATTTGTCGAAAAAGAAGATGATCAGATGATGTGATGATGATGATGTTGATCATAATAATGTTTATATATGCATATATATATAAAATATAACATGAGTTTTGAATTAAAACAAAAATACTTTAGAATGTATAAATATTTATGGTAACAGCGATAAAAAAAATTTATTGTTGAACTTTTTTTAAGTTTCAAAACAATTTTTGAAAAATATTTTCAAAATAGAAACTGAATACTTAATACTAAAAGAAATGGTTTGATGAAACATAACATAATTTTAGTTTCAAAGTTATGTTTCATAAAACAAAGTTTTTACTAAAAAGTTATGTAACATAAAACAAAGATTTTACTAAAAAATTTTCAAATTTAAGTTTATAGAATTTCTAATGTTTTTTCTTTTCAACAGATTTAACTCTGATCCAGCTTGTGTTAAAAATAAAAGAGTTGTTTGTCTCATTTTAGTCGCCACTATCTTGATAAGTTGATGTTTAATGATTTTATTATAAAATTTATTTAAAAAAATGTAATGCTTAATTAATAATTTTTAATTTATTTTAAAATAATTTATTTATTGTAATGACTTTGCAAATAGCAGGATAAGCTACAAGAAAAATAAGTGAATAAAAAAA